GTCAGGTGCATGCAAAAGGTATTAAGATCGAAGACCAAGCTGTAACATTTATCTGTTATAATTTTCAACTCCGAAAATGCTCCTCCTCCAATATACTCTATAGTCATTGTAATTGATGGTAACTGGTTTAAGAAAGAAAATTACTTATTTCTTCTAGGAAACATTAAATGGCCGTTCGATGTCTTGGGCGGTAGAAGAAGTTGCTCCTGATTCCTGAGTTTTTTTTTTTTTTTACAATCAACATAACCAGGTAAACGTACACACCAGAGCGAAGTTACTCAATATTTACCGTTATTTCTTGAAGATCTAGAACTTTCTACGTTTTTCGACTTTTTCTACCAATATAAAAATTTTTAAAAAAAGCCCGCTTGGTTGTTTCGGTCCCTCCTCAAAAACTGAAAAGCTGTTGATCTTTACAACTGTAGTCAGGAAATGTTAAGCACGATGGCCTTTTTTCATTTAGAGGTCATTTTTTTCTCTTTTCAGGAAATAACAAAGACCCAGCAACTAGGAATTTGAAGGCCTCTTTGGGTTTTCCGAGTGACATGAATCATGGAGTAGTGGAGGTCGAGAAAAAACATACAGGATAAATAAGCATGCTAAAAAAAGCAGAGAAATAAGCTTTGGTAACGAAATTATGGAGAAGAAAACAATAGATTATAGAGAAATTTGTGTATTGGTTAAACTTGATTTTTCTCAACTTACTCCAATTTTGAAAATGAAAATGTTTCCCTTGTTTGCGTAGTTTATATAACATTAAGTCAGGCATATGGTAACGTTACGTTTTGTTTCAATAATAGGGACCTTACGCAACCACGACGGCGACGGCAACGAGGACGTGGAAAAACGAGAGATCTAATTGGCAGAACAATAGCTCAGCACGTGCGTTTTGAAACTTTGTACATTTCTTAGCCGTTCTATGCAAAACAACAACGTGAAATCGCCAAATTAGCGTCGTCTGCGAACCGAAACCGCGACGGCAAATTATTTTAATTTCCATTTGGAACTCAACGGCTACTTTATA